GCGGTGGAGGGGGTTCATGAACCATAACCGTGACATGTGAATTTAGAGTTACAGCGGTAAAACATGAATTCAAAATGTCTCCTCTGATTCAGCAGACTCGCCTTCTCATTCACCTTCCCTACTCAACAGAAACCCTGCTCATCAATTTCTTTGCCAGCTCGACTGAATGCCCTCCAGGAATGGGGGAAAAAAGGAGGAATTACTTTTGGGGTTGGGTAAAAGAAGACGGAATGACTCAGTAATCTATAGGGTCATAGAGAGTATTATGAGGACGGTCAGATTGCTTAGGGGAGTGATCGATGGAGGGGTTACACAACTGTCAAACTTACTTTGACCATTTGCAAGTGCAATACATTGTTCTAAGCGCTGAAAGACGCCAATGCGATTACCCGGTTTAAAGAGACAATACATTAGGGTATTTCTAACATAAAATGGCAGGGATTTTTTCTCAAATTTTTAAATGTTAAACATCATATTGAACCTTAAATTGTTGTTATTATTGCTAATTATGACTGTTGATAAATTTATAATTATTTTCATTATTATTATAATTATTATTGCGGTCATTATTATTATCATCGCCGTCGTGGTCACAGTTATCATTATCCTTATCACCTCGATCACGATGTTTAAAAGATGAATGTATTTCTGTACAGTTATAAATATAATTATATTCATATATAATTGTGCATGTATGTTATATACCTCTATTGTTTCAATACTTTTGATCCAAAAAAAAAAAAAATTCCGACCATTTTTTCAAATAGAAAGACTTAATGTGAACAAATTAAGGAAAGCATTAGAAGCATAAGGCAAATTTGTATGAATTTTTTTTTTAAGAGTAACGATGGAGTAACGATTGAGATCCATCCTCTCCTTATGATATGAATTCTAATTGCTTATGATAAAGACAGTGTATCATGAAGAAAACAAAATCCTTTTCATGACTTATTTTCGCAGAAAACTATTAAGAAACATTGCGCGGTCACTATAATCAGAAAACGATTATAGAAATGTGTAAAAAGAAAATATTACAGTGGCAGCATTGTTTTTACTAAATAAATATTAATTTGAACATTTCAGAGTTAGAAAGCTTATGTGAGTACAGATTATATCAACAGGGAAACTGAAATCCTATTTAGTAGCAATACAACACGGATTAAATCAAAAGGCGCTCTATAAAATGGAGAATCGTTCTCTCATTATATACAACCTTTAAAAAGCTGTTCAAATGATGAAATGGTAGTGCCTTTAAACTAATCAATTGTCTTCCTCGAAACTTGACAGATACCTCTATATTACATCATCTGGGCATCTTCATGCCGCGAGGGCTTTTATTGATCGTAGCTCTACGAGCTGCCTTTTATTGCACAGCTTCGAAAGGTTAATGCGAGTTCATGTCTGTCCGACCTTTTCAAGAAATCTTGACCACGTCTCCCTTCCACCATATTTATTAAATCTCTGTCAGCTACAGCGCTCAGCTGCGATGGCGTAGACAGCGAGCGACAGGAGATAGGGGAGGGGTCGGGCGTTTTCATGGCGGAAATGCATATAATAAAACTATTTGCATCGTTACACGTGTGATGGGGTTGGCGAAGTAAGTTTGATGGATGCAAATGCGTTCATTTCTTTACAAATGATTATTTGCTGTCTCTAAACCATATTTCATAGTTTACTTGTATTACACGATTCGTAATGCTACTACAAGTTTTATTAGACCCTACACACGAAGCCTCTTTCCAAAATATATAATTGGAACAATAAAGGTGATTAACTTTTGAATTTCAATCGGAATCAGGGGTAGATGTAGACATAGTCCTGTACGTCGACACATACCCCATTGACAATTGGTCACCCTTCAACATCCTACCCTTATAGATTTCCTGATGACTTTACCCTTAGACCACACAGTATACCTAACGTTAACCCTAACCCTTACCCTAAACTAATACGCTATTGCGATCTGAATCCTGGTCCTACATCTTTGAAAAAATAAGGCCTGGGAATGGACATTAGATATAGATTTGTTTCGTCAAAATAATGTACACTGTCATGGCTAAAAAGAACACAATAATATATAGACAACGGGTTTTAAAAAAATTGTGCTTTATATTATATGAAAAATGGGGACCCGACAAAAATAAAGGGTTAGGGTTAGGGTTGCAGTTGGGTTCTGAGATAGGTTAAAGAGGCAGGTATGGCAGGTTTGGTTCTTAAGCCAGGGGTGAACTTTCGAATTCGGCTATTAGTAAAGGACAAAATTATCACGAAACTAATGTCGCCAAAGCACGTGTCGTCGAACCCCACAAATAGCAAATTTAGAAAGGATTATTTCAACAGATGCATACGAGCTGCTCCTTCCGATCCCTTGTACCTACTCCCCAGACTTTGGAGGTAATCCGCGGCCGCCGGTCCGGCACCCGTTGCGTTCAAGAACCTACTCCCGGAGGATATTCCAACTCTGGATAAATCGAAGATTTGGCCTTCGATTTTCGTATCGTGACATTAAGGATGTTATTTTAGAAGCGGCGAGTGTCGACTGAGGTATCTTCATTCTGTGTTGATTGTTCCCATGTCGCCGGGAGCAGGGTGAGAGAAAGGTCGTGCAAAGTTTGGAAATAAGGGGCTGTAGCTATTTTGCGAATTTTCGTCAAAGTGTAATAAGTCCATGGCCCGGGTCGATGGGATCACCATTGACGTAGCTCCAGGGGGGCTTTGGGGGCACATCCAACCCTCTCCAATCAAATGACATAAAAGGGAGGGAACGGGAAGAAGGGAAGGACTAAGAAGGAAATAAACAAACAAACAAAGAGGAAAAGAAACAGCAGAAAGGAGATGGAAACAGGAACGTGAAAAGAATACGATATTCTCTTCTTCTCCATCTCCTGAACATGTCAAATTGATGACTTTGTTTATTTATATTTCATTCGCAAAGTTCAGTGCAACCCCCTTATCACATGAACTGGGTGCCCCCCCCCCCCCCCTCAGTATCTGGACACACGATACGCCACTGCACTAACTTTTTTTGCTGGGGGGGGGGGGGGTGGGGTATGTAGGCCTACATGACTTGTATAGGATTATGTATATAGGATTGCAGCTAATAGCCACTTTCTTAGACGTATGAACAGAATATTATGACAAAGCAAAAAGGAGAAACTACTCTTCAATAGTACCAACTGTCTTTTTTTCTCTTGGGCATAAAAATACAATATTCCACCATCAAAGTGGTTGCATTTTACGTCCGATGAAAAATGATTAAAGAGCGCATCTTTTAACCGCAGGCTATAGGCCAATCGGTTCATTTGTAACTAAGATTTTTTAATATATACAAAATACTTTGCATTTCGTTTCCTACTCTGACCTTCCCATGACATTTCCAGTAATGACCAACCTGAGACTCTAATTATCCCATATAATTCCTTTTCTTTTGAAACGCTATACTCCGATGGGGGTCGGTAATAAAAATTCATATTTCACCGATTGGCTGGAATTTGACCTTTACACGTGTGATTCTGCACTAAATTGGTATGACGTGATCTTTTAACAAACCTAATCACAGAATACCCTTTCATGCCATTTTGTGATTGCGACTATTAAAGGTCATTTTGAGATATTTCGATAACCTTCAATTAAATATCATTATGAATACTATTCCGTGACGCATAATCAGCTTATGTGAGGACATTTTCATCAAACAGGCTAGATGAAGGGATATTATCTATTAAATGTAGTATTACATACACCATTAACAGTAATTTACATCGCTTAACAACTTTTTTTGATCAAATTATATCTGTGTATTCTATCAAATCATTTGAAGGCGATGAAAGAGGGTGGAGGTCTGGTGAAGGTGGAAAATAATTTGTGAGTTTTTTTTTCTTCAATTTCTTTTTTTGATATGTCAGTTTTGATAAGTATCGCAGTAGATAATACGTCGTCTACTATAAGGCATTGCTCTCCATTGCCCTTCATATCACGAAAGGTAATATTAAAGTAATGCATTGTTATTGTTTTTTTTTAATCATTATCAAAAGTATTTATATCATGATAGGCCTATCTTATTGTGTCTATTTGTGTATTGCGTTACAAACTTTCGTGTAAGTATGCTGTCATTATCAAGGAGATGTAAAGAGTCCACTTGAAGTATATAAGATAAAATATTTGTATCTAAAGCGGGTGGCTTCTCTCGTAGGCCAATCCACTATTCAAATTGTAATGAGTTTGTTAATTATCCTTTTATTATTATTTTTTCATGTGGAAACTCTCGTGATAACGTTATTATGATAATCAAAATATAGGGACCGGTGTCACGACAGATCTGATGCCGTACCCTTAAAGGATTTATTGCCGTTGCCAAAGTGCTCAGGCCTATTTGATACTGCTACTGATGATGAATTTGACCAATAATTATTTATCAATAATCAACAACGTAAACAAAAAGCCACCCGGTGAATTCAACGCGGCCTGACGGAATAATAGATGCCCGACACCAAATCTGCCAATGTACCATGTGGGGCGGGATACTGCTAAGTCCGTTTTTTGTTTAATCTCTACGTATATATTTCTAAATTTATTTAGGCAAGCTATTGATTTAGGCTACCAACGCGAAGAAGACGAATGTCACGGATATTTTGGTCTGTAGATATGTCTACATGTAATTTCCCATTGAGTCCACACATTTACCTCACGATACAATTAGTCTTTAGAAGATGATAACTGGACCCGTAACTGGAGAAAAGTAAAGACGGAAGAAAGAAGAAAAGGAGGTATTAAATGCAAGAATCTGAATAAGACAAGTAACGGCTATGCTATTTTAGTGTTGGTCTATTGCTAGAAGAATGTAGCGGGCGAGATTAAAAGAGATATGGGAGGTGGGAGGTGGGAGAAACTCATCCTTATGAAACTTCTTTTCTATGATTCGAGCAGAATGCTCTACAAAGTTTACGTCGGATCTTCCAACTTCTGATTGGCCAACTCTTCTAGAGCTCCGCCTCTAGCCCCGCCCACCAGTCGCGTGCCAGATGCGCTGTACCCATCGAAGAGGTCAACCCGAATGATGCGAGCAGTGAAGTGCGAAGGCGATCCGAGCCAGCCCCGGGGACAAGCGAAAATTCATGTAAGAGGCATGCATGAACTTAGTGTGAACTCAAAGCAATATTTTGCCATGGATATATTTCCACCTCTCCTGTATTACGTAGTGCAATCGATCAGTGGAAAACCGCACGAGGGACGCAACGCTACGGTACGTACTACGCAAGCAAGCAAACAGCGCGAACAGCTACACAATATAAACACATACTGCGACAGTGATAGATGAGCGCTAAGTTCAATAGTTCAGATTGTTCAAATAAAAGAGAGGAAAGAGGCGGATAGAGAAAGAGAAAGACAGAAAGAGAGAGAGGTGGGGATAAAAACATTGGCAAGCGCACTACGTTCGCTCGGGACCCTGCACATTTATCCTCAGCCGACCGAGGTGATATAAATACGAGAGGGATCTCTGTGGTGAAACAAACTGTAATATCACGATCATAACAAACGCATGTGAGAGAAGGAATGTTGCGTCTTGCTTGCTAGCTCTCTTCGACACTCTCTCACTCGTTCTCGCTCTCTCTCTTTGCGGAACGGGGAAATCCTCTTCACGTGTAACTCATACGCTGTAATACCGGCAACTTCCGCCCGTATCTCGGCTTGTTCTTCAGCGAAACACTGCTGACTTATAGAGCTCTTAGCTTGTTGGATGTCATTGACTTTTGAGAAAGTTTGGTTAGTGATCTAAGGAAGAAATTTATCCTTTCCATGGGCTCATAGCGAATGAACATTCACTACATGCTACAAGTGGAGTTGAAGTAGATCCCGAGAAATTTTGTTTACTTTTCTGAGCGAGGTAAGTCGATTTCTCATTCTCCTTTTTTGTGTGTAGCTTATTGTTCCCTCATTGAATATTCATTACCTATTATGCATTTCTATTATGTTTTTTACAGTTAGTTTTACTTTACAAATATAACAGAATGAAGCTGCTGACCATATGAAAATGTTAACATCGTCTGTGTTTATGTTGGAAGTGCTCAACTATTGTTTGCTTAATTGTAAACCAAGTCAGATTGAATATTTCAATAAATTAAGTAAGTATGGTTGTAATCGTAATTTCAAGGGATTTTAAGGGATACTACAACAGCGAAAAACAAGTGGGAAATACAACTTTCATTACTGTATCAAACCATATGCAATATAGTGTCATAATTGTGGGTTGTTGTAATTGTATTTTGGCGTAATTATTTGCACACTTTCTTCTGCCAAAACTGTAATATATTAATTTGATAACAAGCATATGCTTAAGTTCTGCGTGCGTTTAGGTAGGCCTACTGTCTATATGGAGCAATTTTTAATTTTCTTTCTTCTAACTTGGATACCAATGCCCAAATCCACGACGTCTAATATATTGAGGCCTAGTGAATCTGCCAATCTGTTGACTTGGCCTGGTTGATTAAATATGCCTGTGCTATTTAGGTTTTTGTCCAGTGATAATCGATGAGGTTTTTAAAACATCCAGATGTCAATGATTGATGGTGTGAGAGAGAAATGAAATTCTTTTTTTTTAATTCCGCCGAGAAAAAAAAATTGAATTCCGTTTGTTTTGTAATAAACCAAGGATCTGTAAGTGTGAGATATGTGTAATTTCCATTTCCACGTGTAATGCCTGTGTTTAAATGTAATTATGGTGCATATAATTCGGATTAGAATTCTTTTTTAACTGTGTTTTTGCATGTTTTTTTTTTTTTAGCATTCATAATCTGTTCTGTTTTAACTCACTTATTATTGTACTATGCTGTGGGATGTAATATATTTATGATGTAAACGAGAATGTAACTACTACCATTATGTATAATCTACAAATGTCAACTGGAGTAGGTAAAGTGAATAATCCAGTATGAACACATTGATTAATTAAAGAATTTTTGTATAATGTGTCACACCGATACCATCTATGAAAATGCTTATAGAAAAAACTCCCCATAAGTCTATTTGATTGTAAATATCAACAGTAAACATTATTTTTCATCTATTTCGCGATGGTCTATTAACTTGCCGCAAACATGTCAAATAGAGTTTTTTTTTGTTTAATGTTAGGTCACCGTTCCTTTTCTTGGCCAATGTGTCAAAGATTAGGCCCACTTTTGAAGAAGAATCTTTTGAATATGAAGTCATTTATGTACCGATGAGTAATACAGAATAGGTTTCTCAAATTTATATTTCAAACAACAATTTAATAAATGTGTGACGGGGTACATTGTGACATAAGTATGCAATTATTTCAAAACAAACAAGTTAACAAAAAAAAAATGGACAAACACAAAATGACTAATCTCGCTTCGGAGGAAGTATATACACCCCTTTAAATTTGGTTTCTGAGGTTACTAAATTTGTTACGCTATTCTATTTAACTTCTGTATACCATGGGTTGGTATTAACAAGGATGAATGATTTCAAACTAGACAATATCCGATCGAAAAATGTAATTCCAATATATAGGATAGTGAGTAAAAGATTGGTCAGGAATGAGCAACGTTGTCCAAGTTGTCTCCGCAATACATAGTATTTATCAGCCTTCGATCACCGTAAGAATAATGGGTTGCTCCTGTTTTGTCATTTGGAGTTTATAATGTCTTATTTCATTGCATATAGGCCTACTTAGAATTATTCAAAGAATTATAGCCTATTTTCACCGAAAATATTTAACGCATTATTTGCCTTTTTATATTCTTTTTTTCAACAGCCTCCAAGAACATCAGTATATTCGACTTTGTTTCTGATCAACAAATCATAAAATGGCGTTTATGTTCTCGGTATGGACCTTCGCTGTTCCTGTGTGTCTCTTGTACTTGATCAAGAAGCTTTGGTACTGGTATAACATCAGCAAGAGCGACCCAAACTGCTCGGCCCCTCTCCCCGGCGGCTCCATGGGTTGGCCTATCATCGGAGAGACATTTCACGTGCTTTTCCAGGTAAGTGGACTTTTGGAAATAGTTGAAATAAATGCCCATAGCAAAGAAGGGGCCATAATTACCCTTTTCCCCACACCACCGTGAATTTGAGTATAATTGAAAAATTGCGGTTTGTCTAATAATTTAGTTTCGAAATTCACTTGCAGGGGCATATTGAAACTTGTAGAAGCTTGCCAATATTCTCTTTTGAAAGTATATTTGCCAATGGAATTGCGAAATTAAACTTTTCAAATAAAGCAAATGATTTCGCAAGTTTACCATTTCATTTCCACATCGCTCTTTGTGCACATCCTCTTTTACCATTAAAGGCAAATGACACCGTTTTGGCATAGGTTAAATACACTTGTTCACCTCCGGGCACCATATCCTATTCCACTTGCATCAGCTGATGCGTAATTGTGACGTCACAGTGACCTCACTATCCCCCGGTCGCAACGATCAGCCAATCATAAGCGCGTCTTATTTTCGCTCAATGAAAGTAGCGAACCAATCAGCGATCGCCTGTTAGAGTACGCTGTAAATTGACCTGCTGGTCGGTACGTCGTAGGGTTATTCAGAGGCCAATAAACTCCTCCTCAGTAAAGTGTATCAGGAAAGGTGTTCTTTTCCGAGGAAAAAGGCAAAAAACAAAAAGTAGACGTGCAAGGATTTGCCCCAATTTTCAGATTAAGGTTATGTTTTGGAATTGGTCAGAAATGCTGGGAAGATAAAGAACAATGGAGAAGGTTTTGGCGTCAATTTTCTTAGTTAACACGCAAGATTCTTGGTAATTTTGTATAGCACTGATCTAGTTAATAATTCAAAAAGTTGTCTCCTTGTAAACAAAAACCTTACGAAGCTGTCATAAAATCAATGTTTGACTGGCTCTAACGAGACAACAATCATTTTGTAAAGTAAATAAAATGCTGAAATATATGACTAGTAGCCGAATGAATGTGCCCGTGAGCTCACAAGATAGTTTCAGTAGTTGACTTTAATAATAGGGAGGAGGAACCACAATGATTCGTTCTTTTTGCATATTTAAAAGAATATGTCAAATAATGACCACAGTCTTTCTTAAATTTACTTAGCATAATCAAGGAACGATAATGGTGTCAAAATTGAGCATGGAAGGGAGAGGGGGGCAGAGTCTAGAATCTCTGACCTGCGTGAACTTTAGAACTTTACAAAAATTCTAATTTGATTTTATGCGTAATCATTCACAAATAGTAATTGACTCATTGTTAAGAACAAGTTCTAGACGTTCAAATATGTGCGAGACCAATACTGCAAGTAAAAAAAAATAGGTCAATTTCTAAAAAGGGAGACCAAGTGAATGATAATCATCAAAAGACCACCATTTCCTCTCTTTTTAGAATGAATACGCATAATTACATACCCCCTTGTTGAACCTTCTCGTAGAAGGTACTTTGCCCTTAAATGTGGTCAGATCATGTCTTTAGAAACAACATAGAATAGTACACTCGAACGCCAAAACGAAACCGACGTAAAGAAATGGATCAAAACTACACAATGACGTCATTATAAGATTTGTATCGTTGTTCACGCACAATGGTGTTCCTTCGGAAAGAATGTAGCGACGGGAAGAAGAAATAAATGCGACATTCCATTGCTATTTAGCCCGAGAAAAGGAATCCCCTCAAAGGAAGGCGGGCATGGTTATGGCAACATGTACTTTGGGCTGAAAAGATGAAGAATAAAGGGATTTCTGAGTCGTTGAGCAGGAACTAAAGCTAACTATGCGAGACATTGTTGAGCGGTTGATGCTGGACAGAGATTGCGGAGTCAGGCGAAGTTCATGCCCGATCGTACGGGGGTTCGAGCAGGTCCACATTCCGGTGACGGAGCCAAATTGAGAGCATTCCATTGTTCGTCGATGATTTATGATATATGTGAAAAAAAATATTTAATTTTCCACTGCTTTAGCGCTGAATGGGTCATTAAATGAGCAACATAATGACGGTAACATCCGCAATTACGACAGATTTTGCCAGATTAATTGTAATCTGACTTTGATTTACGCGGGAATGAAGAGTGAGAGGGAAACTGATGATATGAGACCCTCTTTTTAACCGCTGGGGTAGTGGTACCCAGATATAGTATATTCCCTTCATTTTCAACGTAATATTGTTATGGGGATAGAGACATGATGACATTTTCAATTGACCACCGCAAGATGGCGGTTGTCCACTGACTGCTTCTGAGCTGTCTACTTCGAAGAAAGCTCGTGAAACTTGAAAAAAAAATATCGGATCAATATATTGTTTTAAAGTAATATGAAAGGAATGTTGAATAAAATTCTGGCAACACCTGAAAACCATATTGCTCCAAAATTATACCGCAAAGAGGAAATTGAATAATGAGGTAAACAAACGAACAAGCATACACACCGGTTGCCATATTATATGCGTTGTGACTGGGTATATGATATCAGTTTGATGCCACATTTGCGACCTCGAACACGCCGATATAATCTTGGCGGATCATATGTGGTTATTTGAACGCGATATGCGGTGAGGTGTTACAAAGAAAGTGTTTACCTTGTGTAGAACAACAAGTCAACACCGAGCGTGGTATCAATGTTAGGGTAACGTGTTTTTAATACCAAGTGATATTAAAACAATGTGGTGTATACCTGGTGTACACGGAAGAAGGGTTGGTTTGGGGGCTAATGGTCCCACGCACTACTGGTCCTATGTTAATAGATCGTGTTTGGAGTTTAGGGTCAAGGTTATGTTTAGGTTTAGGTTTATGATTAGGGTTAATGTACCTTTACTTTCTTAACCCCTTCCGGCGTGTTGGAATATGTTGGCGTAGGACCAGTGGTGGGTAGGACCGGTAGTGCGTAGGACCAGTGGTGGTAGGACCGGTAGTGCGTAGGACCAATGTGGTGTAAACCCAAATTGAGATTGAAGAATATGTCATCACTGACAATACAGAACTCAGCACTGAATGGAAATAGAAATCCGTGAACTAAGTTTTGGAAAGAGCAATTTCCCTACGATATCACTGAGAAGAAAATATTTACTGTAATGACGAATATTGGTATCCTTCATCTCATTATGTTACGGGCGGATATTTGGTGATGTGAAAGCAATAGCAATTTCATTGTTAAAATAAGCAAATTATTATGCAATATTCGATTATCGAAATCAACTATACATCATTAGCATGGTCTTGTACAAACGATTTCAATAACTTATACTGATTTAGTTGAGCCACGTTTATATGCAACACGTGTTTAGGTTGTGTGTGTGTGCGGGGGGGGGGGTAGAATGTGTGTGTGCGTGCTCTTTGCGGTTGTGGGGATTTTATTAGTTGTTGATAAACCGTGAAATTAATCATACTTGTGAGCGTGCATGACTTACATGTTTACCCGTTCGCACTTATAACACCGCTGTTATTTACACATTCCCCGAGTTATCCCATTAGAGTCGCACTTCAACCGCAGAACACCGAACCCACACCCACATCCCAATATACCCACACACTCGCTTATAATATGAACGCAATGCCATTTAATAAAGCTTTCACTTGCTTTCGCTAGAAATGCCTGGATTCGGGCTGGAATGGTTTAGTAGGAAAAAGATATTATAGAAACAGAGAGAGAGAGAGAGAACGGGATGGAGAGGATTGAAAGAAAGAGAGAGGTTAGACCCCCCCCCCCCCACCAAAAAAGAAAAGAGAAAAAAAGAATACAAGTGTTCTTTACTTTACCTGACCTTCCTGTGTTTTTAAACCGCTAAAGGCAATATATTTATTCCAGCATACAATAGGGTCGGTAGTTCAAGAAATAGGAAAAAGGGGAAAAAACGTTGCATAATTCATAAAGAAAGGGAAGTAAAAAAAGAAATAGCCTTCAAGCCATGACCTGTAAGAACAGAATCTACTTTGTCCGGCGATTGAACTCAGGAACGAACAATCCAAGCTATCATTTACTCGAGGATAATTCGAGGGCAAGATAATTGCATTTATTCCTCAACAATGGACGATAATTAACATATTTCAGAATTCCTCGGAAAGTGAATTGTATAGTCACACAATGCGTGGGAATTTAACATCAAGATTCTAAGGGCGTTTAGGCCAACAAAATTGATAATAATAATAATAACAACAATTTAATCGTAGTTGAATACGATGCGCGAAGAAAGGAGAGAGTTATATAGTAGGGGGGAAATATTTAAAATAAAGTACTGTATGATAACGAATTAAATGATGACGGAAGTATTATAACAGTGACCGCTACCTAGGGCGGACGGGCCTGTCATTCTTGTGATGAATAGTGCAAATTTCTATAAATTCAATGCCCCTCTTTCTTGTGCTACTAGTTTGAGCATTTAGCTGTTTGTTAATGTATTTTCGTTATTAACAGTAAGCTGTGATTTTTGGCTATAGGCCTATTTAGATGTTGGCCATTTGCAGAAGTTAACATCTATATAGAAAGGGTTTGTGTAGAATTTGGCATGTGCATCAAAGAATGTAATCTTTGTCGTTGATAGAAAAGTAAATAAAAAACGATAATTGATAAATAGGCCTATGTGACGAAATCCCCTTTTATGTATATTAAAACTGAGTGCCTTTGTGATAAGCTCTAGGACTTTTCACCATCTTTATCCTTTGTAACTTAGTCAACTAATAACTTATTTGCGATTTGTTTTTCTTCCATTAATACACTCCCTATGACTTCAATGAATATGTTTCCCAGTAGACATTGTAGTTATGTTGGATTAAAACTTGTTTGTTTAGAGTAACGATAAATTAGGCATCTGAAGTTCTTCAATACATGAGTTTCTAGAAACCTTTTATATTAAATTACATGAATTATCGTTCATGATTTTATTTAAATATACGAAAAACGATTGATACTCGTGAAGCCTCAGTCAGCTTGATTCATTTATTTGACCTTATGACCGGTTTTATATCAAACGCTTTCTGTAAATGGTAAATTTGGCAGCCATTAATATCCCGGGGTTTTCTCTTGTTGCGCCTTGCCTTTGTCT